AGGGTGAAGCTATAAATCAGGCGCAAGATCACCTGAGTTCACAGCAGTATTTAGATCTCTGTTCATGTGGTTCCTTCTGTCCCTTTAAATGTGTGTATGTGTGTACGTGTGTGTGAGTGTGTGTGTATGAGAGAGCGTGTGTGTGTGCAAATTCTTTGTACAGTGTCAGTTTATTTTTTATGGAAAGGCGCCTCAGCTGAAACAGGAGAGAAGGCTTTAAGGTTCCCAAACCAGCTCCCGCCCGCTGTGCTCTGTGATTGGCTGCCGTGGGCGAGGCCCCCGGGGGGGGGTGGGGGGGGGGGTAGGGCCTGAGTCCCAGGTTGAAGGACAGATGCCAGGCAGTGGGTCCCCGCAGCATGGCCTCCATCACAGCAGAATAGCGGCGAGCAGATTTATAACAGGGATGTCCCAGCAGCTAAGAAGCCTCCGATGCCCGCAGTTGCTTCCGAAGAAAGCTCACGTCTGTCACGTTACAGCTCACATGGGCCATCCCGCAGGCAAAGCTTGCTCACCTGCAAGATAAATCCGCTCCCGCTCGGATTTCTGTGTGTGCATGTGTTCATATTTACACAGTCAACGACGACGATGCGGCACAAGAATGAGCTGTGATTTTTATATTGTTCCATATTCGAATTATGCAAATTTAAAGTGAGGTCCAGTGTGGTATGTAAAGCATTACGAGCTGACCTCGGGACAAAAAAGAATCAACAAATACAGATACACACGTGCTCGTGCACAGACCCACAGACACACATAGACACACACTCACACACATCCAGACATGCACACACACACAGTCACACACAGAGACACAGAGAGACACACACAATCACACACACTGTCACAGACACATAGAGACACACACACACAGTCACATACAGAGACACAGAGAGACACAGAGGTGTGTGCGCGTGCGCACACAGACACACACACACACACACACACGCACACACACACGCACGCACGCACGCACGCACGCACACGGAGCCAGAGGAGCTGGCCAGGGAAGGGACATAGGGCAGCAGGGAAGGAGCTGTAAAGAGGCCTAGCGTGGCTGAACCAGGAAGGGCGGGGCGCAGACTGAAATGCCGGGGCCTGAACCGGAGGAGCAGGTTTGGCGGGTTGGGTGAGTGAGCTGCCAGCGCCAGTCTCTCCAAAGGGGACAGTTATCACCCCTCCCCCACGAAAGCAGACCCCGCTGGCCAGCACGTCACCATGTTTTCCAAGAGAAAGAGTCCACATTTCAAATATGGAAATCTCTGATTGGTTAAATGTGGCCAAAAACCCAATGAAAATAAATACTGAAGGGGCCTCAAACCCACCCCTGGACCCTGAGCTTGCTCTGCCAGCCGGTGGCTGCTGCCCACGCCTCACACTTCCCTTGAGACTATCCCTGAGGCAGGCAGTGACACCCCGGCCAGGTTCACCCCTTCTTTTTGTGTTTAATGTGTTTTTATTGCTGTCAGAGAGGGAGAGAGAAGCATCCATGATAAGAGGGAACCGCAGACGGGCTGCCTCCTGCACACCCCACACTGGGGATCCAGCCTGCAACCCAGGCGTGTGCCCTGACCGGGAATCAAACCGTGACCTCCTGGTTCATAACGTGATGCTCAACCCCTGAGCCACGCCGGCCAGGCTTCATCTCAGCTTTAACCTTCAGCCTGGGCAAAGCCCTGTGCAGAGTCCAGAAACCCTACAAGACCCCACGCAAAGCAACGGGCAAAAGGCAGAGCCAGAAACCAGCACTCAAAAGGGCTCTGCTTCTTAGCACATCCTGACCCCGAGCCCTGGGGATGACGGAGAATCCCCAGGACACACAGCACTGACGAGGTGCTGACGAGAGGTGGTTGGTCAGCAGCTGGGCCACAGCACTCGGTCCCCGGAAACAGACACTGCCCCCTCTGGGCTCTGAGGACACAGGGTCCAAGGATAACCAGGCTCAGGGGGGCGTGCCCTGGCCAAGGAGACCCAGGAGGCCCCGCAGGAGGGCCAGGACCCTCTGCAAGGGCCCGGAGCCACGGCCCTGCCCTTACAGAAGCCGGTGCTGCTGCCTATACTGACACGGAGGTCTGAGAGCACAGACGGGCCAACAATCAGTCTCCTGCAGCCCCGGCCCAGCTCCCTCGCCGCCCGCCCGCTGGGAGCAGTCAGCACAGCCCTGCGCCTCAGACATCTTCAGCGGAGCCGTCGGTGCCTGTCCATCCAAGGGGAGCCGGTTTTAGAAACGCGTGTTCCTCCGGAATGTAGGGTCGGAAGGGGCCTCGCCCCACCCCTGACCCGCTGCCCCTGGTCCCGGACGCCCCTGAGGCACCCCTCGCCCAGGATGGGGAGCCCGGCCCCCTCGGGGGCTGCACCTCCCACGTGGAGAAGGCTCCCCACTTACCCAGGACCCGTGTTTAATTTCTGAAACGCAAGCTCTGATGTTTTTCCTTGTCCTTCCCCGCTGTGACCTCCCAGGCCAGAGAGAACAGGTGGTCCGAGGCCCCTGGCTGGGGACGGGACTGAAATATGTGGAGGCCCGCTCCTGCAGTTCCGTACGTCACAAGATCCACCGTTTTCCGGACGCGCCATCCGGGCATGCCGAGTACCTGCTGCCGACGGGCACGGTCACCCTGACGGTCACTCCCATGTCCCAGTCCAGGGAGGGACCACACTTCACACCAGTGTCCAGGGGGTTTGGGGCTCACCCTTCCCCCAGCCCCTGGGTGGGCCCCCGTGCAGGGGTGCCCTGAGCACTCCTTGCTTCTGGAGGGGTCAGAGCCCGTGAGACGACGGTTGCAAACGGCGCCGTGAAGGCTGCTGCGTGGCGGTGGCTGGGAGGACTGCATCACCGTCTCCCCCGGCTCATGGCCGATGTCCCCACGCCGTCTCTGTTTTTACTGTCTTTATTGCTTTTTCAGAGAGAGGAAGAGGAGAGGGAGAGAGAGGTTGAAACATCCGTGATGAGAGAGAATCATGGATCGGCTGCCTCCTGCACGCCCCTGCTGGGGAAGGAGCCCGCCACCAGGGCAAGTGCCCTGACCGGGAATCGAACCGTGACCTCCTGGCTCCTGGGCTTATGCTCAGCCACCGAGCCACGCCGGCCGGGCCCCATGCAATCCTAACCGTTAGTTGTAGCTTCAACCGATTGGCGCTTTAACATGTGGTTTGTGCTGCCACCCACCACACTTCCCGGGCTGAAGGCTCCAGGGCAGCGGCTCTCAACCTTCCTGATGCTGCGACCCTCATAATGCAAATATCCGGGCTTTTCCACGGTCTCAGGCTCTATGTACAGCAGCGGTTCTCAACCTGTGGGTCAGGTAAGACCACCGGAGACACACATACTTACGTGACTATCTGTGACAGCAGCAGAGTGACAGTGATGAACAAGCAACGAAAACAATGTCACGGGTGGGGTCACCTCGCCATGGGGAGCTGTGTTGAAGGGTCGGCATCAGGAGGGTGGAGATCCGCTCCGGAGCCAGCTAGGGGGCCGGTGGAGGCGCCCTCAGGCCTGGGCTGTCAGACGCCTCCTGGCTTCGGGCTGCGTCCCACTCGTGTTCCCGGTAGCCCTTCCCTCCCCTGTGCGGCGTGCACAGCCGTGTTTCTCCGCACGCCGCTCTGCGTTTGTCACGTGTGGCATGTAGCGTGCAACCTCCTCTGGAGCCTGCAGCGGGGACCACGCTGGAACCTCACAGCCTCCCTGCCCGGCCCGGGGCCCAGAGGCTCGGTGGGTCCCGTAGTTCAAACACGGGAACAGACACGCGGACTCTCCGCTCAGAGGGCAGGGCCGGCTGTGCGGGAGGGAGGACAGGTGTCCCTCTCTCTCTCCCCTCCCCACCCCCCACGCAGGAGGGGGCGGCCTGGAACTGCGCTCACTTTGCTTTCAGGAGAGACGGGACTGGCCAGCTGCCGTGTGGGCAGGCAGGGCTTTGGTGGGGGCAGCCGGGGACCTGGGTGGAGGATGGGTGTGAGGACACCTGTCCCATGGGAAGGAGCAGACATGGCTTAGCCCACCTTGGCCAGCCCGGGACCCTCCTCTCCTCCCACCCGTCCGCGGGGATCTGCCCAGGTGGGCACTCCTGTCCGCCCCGGGAGGCTGCCCCAGGCCAGGCATAGGAGGGGACACCCAGCTCCCCCGGAGAAGCACCCACTCGGGTTGGTGTCCAGCTGCATTCTCACGCTCAGCTTTTGCACAATGACTGACCACAGGCGTCTGCTCTCCAGCGCCGAGGCCGCTGCAGCCTCAGGGGGCTGCGGGCTGGCCGGGCTCCCACCTTCATCTAGTAACACCTCCCGGCGGGCCGGGGCCAGGGCACGGTCCCTCCTCAGAGTCTGTGGAGGGTGCTTGGCGGCCGCAAAGGGCCCTTGGGCTGGAAAGCTACCACTCGGCCGCAGGACAGTCCAGCTCTGTCCCCGGGGGGCAGACACAGGGTGCCGCCCTCCGTGCCATGGCCCGGCAGGGCGCTGGCTGGGCAGGGCGAGGAGCTGTGCCCTCTGCCCCGCAGGTGGAGGAGGGTATGGCTCCCGTTCGCGGGGCGCAGCCGGGTCTCCTGGTTCTCAGGCCGAGCCCGGCCCGGCGGGGAGCGTCTCTCGGAGGCTGACCGGGCGCCGGGCCCCCGCACCCCCTCCCGCCACCCTCCTCGGAGCGCACGGCCCGGGGCCGCCCCCTCCGCCTCCGCCCGCTCCCCGGTGCCTCCTCCCCGCCGCCCCGGCCGGTCCCTCCCCCCGCTGGTCCCTCCCCTCGCGGCCCGGCCCCCGCCCCCGCCCCGCGGAGACGTCCGGGCGGCCGGCAGCCTCCGCCCCGCTCAGCGGAGCGCACACCCGGCCAGGGCGGACCGAGCCGGCGATCCCAGCAGCCCGGCCGCCTCCCGCGGACCCGGACCCGGAGCCCGCGCCGGACCCGGACCCGGAGCCCCCGCCGGACCCGGACCCGGAGCCCCCGCCTCGCCGCCCCGGAGCGCAGCCGCCGCCGCCGCCGCTCCCCGGACCCCGGACCCCGGATCCCGGACCGCGGGGCGATGCGCCCCTCCCGGGCGGCGGGCGCCGCGCTCCTGGTGCTGCTGGCGGCGCAGTGGCCGGCGCTCCCGGCGCTGGAGGAGAAGAGAGGTAAGGCGTGCCCGCCGCCCGACCGACCGGGACCCGCGACCGGGACCCGCCCACCGGCACCCACCGGGACCCACCGGACCCACCAGGGGACGTGCCCTGCGGGTTGCGCCGGGGGCCGGGCGCGGGGGCCGGGGCGCAGGGCGCAGGGTGCAGGGATCGGACGCCCGGCGCTCTCGCAACTTCCTCACCGTCCCGCCGGCGCGGGGGGCGGCGTCCCGGCACGTGCGCCCGTCCCGGTCCCGCGGAGGGCGCCTCCCTCGGGGACCCCGGGCCTCCCCGCTCCGCGTCCCGGAACCGGCTCGCGGGCGCGGCCCGGGGGCGCCGCTGCGGCCGGACCGGAGGCCGAGTGCGGGCGGGGCGCCGGCTCCTGGGCCGCCGGGGGGACGGCCGTCCGCTCCGTCCGCAGCGGGGGGCGCGGACCCCGAGGTCTCCTCCCGCGTCCCCCCCGGGATCTCCTCCCGCGTCCCCCCCGGATCTCCTCCCGCGTCCCCCCGGGATCTCCTCCCGCGTCCCCCCCGGGATCTCCTCCCGCGTCCCCGGGGCCGGGGGGTGGCCGGCGCCGGGTCGCTTCCGGGGACCCCCCCCACCCCGGCTGCCCCCACCTGCGGCCCCGCTCGCGGCTCCGGGTTCGCGGTGGAGCCGGCGGGGTGGGTGCGACCGGCCCGACGGACCCCGAGTTCCTGGGACCGGTCCCCGCCTTTTTATTAATTATTATTATTATATTATTATTATTATTTTCTGCGAACTTTCCTCCTGGGATCCGGAGCTTCTCTCGGGCCTGTTTCTTTTCGCTTTCGGCAGATTTTGACCCGGAGCCAAGCAAAGCAGCGCGTTAATGTTTGACCCAATTGGGGGGGCGGTGCCCGTGGCGCCGTGGGCCCCGCGTCCAGGGCGAACAGAACCTGAGGGTCTGGCCCGGCCCAGGCACCCTCCCCGGCACCCTCCGGCACCCTCCGGCACCCCTCCACGTGAGGCCGGAAGGTCTGCCCGGTTTCAACATCTCGGCTTCCAGGCTCAGGTCCCAGCTTGCTGCTGAGGTCACCGGCCAGGAGGGAGGGGAGGGGTGCGGGTGGCGGGCTCGGCCTGGTTGCCGCAGACTCCCTGGGGGTTTAAAAGCGAAGCCAGTAAACCCGCAAGCCTGCCTCTCCCCTCACCCACCCCCCAGTCCCCAGAGGGCCCGGGGTGCGCGGGCTGCGGGGGCCGCCCAGCTCCTCAGGTGGCTCTGCCCGCGGCCAGGTGCGGGCATGGGCCGCCGGGGTGGGCAGCGGCTGGCACAGAGGACAGGGATGGGTACCGAGTCCGGAACGATTAGCTGGCGCGGCCGGCTCTGGGGGAACACCTGGAGTGTGGAGCCTCTTGCAAAACGTGGGGACGGGAGCTGGGGGTGGTTTCCATACCAGCGGGCTCCTCTGCCCTCGGAGGGCTGCCCCCCCCCCTGGTCCTTCCCGCTCCCCAACCCCCTCCACAGGGGCTCCCCGGAGTTGGGCGTGTCTCCGTTCTGCTGCCGGGACCCTGTCCTGCGTGCAGTCCAACTCCCGGGCACCTCCAGGCCGCCCTCTTCTCCACAGACGCCGCTCCTCCCTGCTGCCCTTCCATCAGGACGGGGAGTGCCGGAGATTTGTTTTGGGGAAAAACATAAATACCACTTAATTTGCCTGTTGGTTTTGTGTTCGCTTAGAACAGGATGCTCGGGGCAGGGCGGGGAGGGGGGGAGTGAGACACAAAAAAACAGCAGTGGGAGCATGCGAGCTGGCGTCAGAGTCCCAGAAACAGGGGCGACGTGTGAGAAACACAACATGTGACTTCTGACAGAGTGTTCACAAAACGTCCTTATCTCAGACAGACCGGCCTGGCTCTAAGCGATGGAATCGCCGTCCCCTCGATCCCTTTAACGGACAGGCGCAGGAAGTGGGTGCTCCTGGCCGATGGGGAGACAGGTCGGGAGAAGTGGCTGCTTTCCCGGCAGCGGGAACCTGCTGAGGCTCCCGTCACCGGCCGCCCCTGCCTCTGCTCCGGGAGTTCTGGTCTCAGGAGGGCGTCGGAGGCCAGGGGACGGACAGCGAGGGGCAGGGCCAGACCAGGGACAGGGCTCCTCGGGGTGGTTCCCCGGTGAGGACCCGCGGGCCCCGGGCCGTGGTCTAGACTCCCGCTCACAGTTACTCCGTGGTCGGTCTGTCGGCCGCCCGTCCGGGGGCATCAGAGCTGCCCGGTCAGCAGCGAAGCGGGCCTCGCTCGGCACCCCTCGGGCAGGCGGGCTGTGAGGTCGGCCTGGGAGACGGGCTGTGTAGGCGCCTTCCTGCAGAGGCGCGGAGGGGCTGGCGGTGTTCTGAGAAAGGCAGGAACTGGCAGCCGGGCGGCCGCGGCCCCGCCTCCCAGCACATTCCTAACTCTGGACGGTCTTCGTGTATTTCTGGCTTCCCACGTTTCGTGTCCGAGCCCACACCGTGTCACGGCCTCACTCCGCCGACTCCATCGCACCCCCTTCCCGAGGCAGGGCCCAGGGACCGCGCTTTCGTTCCTGAACGAGCTCCGAGATGCCCGCAGAGGCCGCGTCGGGGAGCGCGGGGCCCGCCCTGTTTAGAGAGGAAACACCGAGCTCTTGTTTTTGCGTGGATCTCAGCTCTGGGCCGCAGAGAGGGTCCGGGGCCAGGGAGAGGGGCGGCCGCCCGCCCACCTTGCCTGGGGGAGTGCGGGTGGTGACCCAGGCCCTGGAGTGGGCCCTGGGGTCAGAGGGTCAGGGACACTCAGGGGGTCGCAGGCCCCGCCCGGGGACCACGCAGCCTTCCTGCGCCCCGTGGCTCTCCGAGAGAGCCGTGTTCGCGGCTCTGGTTAGCGGAGACCCGGCGCGGTGGACATGGCTCCTTGGAGTTGGGTTTTGCTCACAGGAGCCGGCTCTGAGGAACGTTTAAGGTTCTAGAATGTGGCTGCCCGTGCCGTTTCCACGTCGGTGCCAGAAAAAAATGGGTGGGCCTCTCAGGTCACTGCAGACGCCTCTGATTTCGTTTTCCTCTGCCCTTTATGGACGTTGGACGTCATGTGAGAAGCAGCTTTGGTCTCAGTGTATGTTGACGTGGTTTACTCTTTTTTTTTTTTAATATATTCTCTTGATTTTTTACAGAGAGGAAGGGAGAGGGAGAGAGAGTGAGAAACCTCGATGAGAGAGAAACATCCATCAGCTGCCTCCTGCACTCCTCCTACTGGGGATATGCCCACAACCAAGGTACGTGCCCTTGACGGGAATCAAACCCAGGACCCTTGAGTCTGCAGGCTGACGCTCTACCCACTGAGCCACGCCGGTTAGGGCTGGTTTGAAGGATGATGAGCCCATGGGAGAGCGGGTGGGCCTTGCTCCCGGAGGCTGGGTCCTGGGACTGGCGCCGGCTCAGGCCTCCTTTCTCGCTTTCCCCCGAAGAGGCTGCCCTTTCTCAGAACACGGCCCCCGCTGGCTCTTAGCCCAGCAGGTGCGGAGGGTCTGCCTCTGGCCCCGGGAGCAGGCAGGTCAGCCGGGATTCGTGCCAGGACCCGGGCGTCCCCCTCCCGTCCGATACCCAGGTTGACGGACGTTTTCTCTGTCGGAGCCACGAAGCCCATGGTTCTTCCGACGCATTTGGGTAGACATGCTCCATTCAGATGTGCAGAACGTTCCCTGAGCCGTCGGGAGCCGCCGGGAGCAGGAGAGGGGGCGGGGCCGGGGCCCGTGGGGGGCGGAGGGCTGGCGTGGACACGCGGCCTCGGGCCGCTGCGGACGAGGCCTCTATGCACTGCGTGTGCTTAACGCCCACATCCCTCCCGGGGCCGTGTGTGTGGCCAGCACAGGAGGGCAGCGTGTCCCTCTGGCTTCCACACTGCGTCCCAGGAAGCCCAGAGCCACAGCGTCTGTCCTTCCCGAGGACATCTGGAATGTCTCAGGAGCGGACCTTGCATTGCGGACTCGGGGCCCGGCGGCTGGGGGGAGGCCTTGTCCACAGCCGCAACGCCCCCACAGCGCACGCTGCCCCCTGCCTGCGCAGGCCCCGCGCCGGTAAACAGTTACGTAAGGGAGCCGCGGTGTTTGTCCTTCGGTGTAAGGACAGGATCGCTACCTCTGACGCCGCGGGCTTTTGTTTGCATTCCTCTCCCCGTGCTTGGACCACAGGGAGGGCCTGGGCTGCTGCGTCCTCGGCTGAGCTGCAGACTGAGTCACAGGGGGACTCGGGCCCCGCACCCGTTAGGGGAGAAGAGATCTGCGGGTGGCACGCCTGAAACGCTGGCAGAAGCAGCGGCTTCGGGGAAGCGTTCTGGGATCAGCCTTTGTTTTTACTTTATTTTTATTTTTGTTCATGGCCAGCAGCGTGGTCTGAAGGCTGTGGGGTCGTGGCCAGCAGCGTGGTCTGGAGGCTGTGGGGTCGTGGCCAGCAGCGTGGTCTGAAGGCTGTGGAGTGTGTGGCCAGCAAGCGGTCTGAAGGCTGTGGGGTCGTGGCCAGCAGCGTGGTCTGGAGGCTGTGGGGTCGTGGCCAGCAGCGTGGTCTGGAGGCTGTGGGGTCGTGGCCAGCAAGTGGTCTGGAGGCTGTGGGGTCGTGGCCAGCAGCGTGGTCTGGAGGCTGTGGAGTGTGTGGCCAGCAGCGTGGTCTGGAGGCTGTGGAGTGTGTGGCCAGCAGCGTGGTCTGGAGGCTGTGGGGAAGTGGCCAGCAGTGTGGTCTGGAGGCTGTGGGGTCGTGGCCAGCAGCGTGGTCTGGAGGCTGTGGGGTCGTGGCCAGCAGCGTGGTCTGGAGGCTGTGGGGTCGTGGCCAGCAGCGTGGTCTGGAGGCTGTGGAGTGTGTGGCCAGCAGCGTGGTCTGGAGGCTGTGGAGTGTGTGGCCAGCAGCGTGGTCTGGAGGCTGTGGGGTCGTGGCCAGCAGCGTGGTCTGGAGGCTGTGGGGAAGTGGCCAGCAGCGTGGTCTGGAGGCTGTGGGGAAGTGGCCAGCAGCGTGGTCTGGAGGCTGTGGGGTCGTGGCCAGCAGCGTGGTCTGGAGGCTGTGGGG